GTATAAATCACCACTGGAAGCCTCAAAAACTCTTAATCTGTCTCTCAATTATAATTATTTATTATCATTTTAAAGTCATGTTATTTTGAAGTTTAATTTATTGTCTCTCTTCTGTCTTGTTTCTAGCACTCTTTAATCGTTATTTTGCCTATGTGTTTTTCTGTAACTCAAACTGGTTTGGGTTTTTGTGTGGTTCTTTGAACTCTTTTCGAGAAATGCGACCGTAACCGAACTGAACCCCACCCCACCCCCCTTTTCCCCTTTCTTTTGAATATCTTCGTCCTTTTTAAGTGTCAGAATCTTAAACTGGCTCTGGCGATCATGGTTAGCCACCAATTTCTCGCCTCAAAGGCTCTAAGAAAATATCAGTACGTTCTTATGATCCTGATCTTTTACCTCCGCTTTCTATTAGCAACAACTCTAATCTTACGCACGCTCTTACTTGAACTATTTATGTTGCAATAAGTGCCGTAAAACTTTTACTACTTGGCGGGTGCTCTGGTTTAGTTAGCTCCTTATTTCTTATCAAATGTCTATTGCCCTGATCGCTCCTACTTTTGTGTTCGTTACTTTCTGGTAACACCTCTAATCTTCGGCACTATCACTGACCTAACTGCGTTGCAAGCGCCGTAAAAGAATCTTACTAAATATTGCTAAATCACAAATAAACCCAAAACACCGATCTAAAAACTCTCTCTATAACTGCAATAACTAAACCTTCGTATACCCGCGTTAACCAACAGTTCAGCGGACAACGGGACGTGTAATTAGTAGTATTGTATGCGTGCGTGCTTGTGTGCGTGTGTCTTTGCAAGAGTGGTTCTCCACAAGCCATGTTTCTTTCCAACGACTGTCCTGCTCTAATTAAATGACAGTGCGTGCGTGCCTGCTTATGTGCTTGCGTGCATGAATGCCTCTTCATAACCCAATATTATGTTTCATCTCTATAACTGTCCAGTAGATGGCTCATGTCCACTCTCTCCAGGCCTTTCGTCCACTTCAGAGATGACCAGTGTCCACTCGTGTGCCTGTTACTGACCCCTCCCAACCCACCTCCCGGTGTCCAGCCTGACTAGTGACTGACCGTCCGTTACGCATCATTAATATTCACGTGCACGCACCATATGTCGTGACCTCAGTTCATAATTCGTTGGTCTGTGGTGATGAGTGGTTGGTAGGCGCCCTATTATATGTAGTCTGCTCCTCTTTGTCCGGTGGTACATGTGCACGTTCTACTGTCCTCATCTAGATCTAGCTCCTGGCGGGTTGTGTCTGTTTTCCTGATGGCTTTATAGGTAGTGGGTGGGGTTGTTTTTTTTTTAGGGGGGGTGCTCTGGTGTGGTTCGCTCCTTCTGTCCTATCAAACATAATCTTTCGTTCTTATCTGTCCTTTTTTTTTTTTACTCTCGCGTAAGACCTCTTACTCTTACGTCCGGACCTTACATACATGGCCTCTTTGCGTTTCAAGTGTCTCTAAATCGAAACGAAACAAAACCAAACTATAACTTGTATGGTGATTGGAGAGCGCCGCTGTTAGTTCCTACTTCTTTTTGTTTGACTCTGTTGGTTGTGTCTAGATCTATGTCTGGCTTCACCGTGCACTGAATGACCGTGGTTGTGTCTAGATCTATGTCTGGCTTCAACGTGCTCTGAATGACCGTGGTTGTGTCTAGATCTATGTCTGGCTTCAACGTGCTCTGAATGACCGTGGTTCTGTCTAGATCTATGTCTGGCTTCACCGTGCACTGAATGACCGTGGTTGTGTCGATGTGCTTCTTTTTACTCAAACAAACCACCCATTATCACGGGTTCTCTTGTAACACCTCTAACCTTAGGCACGATTAGGACCTTATTGTGTCGCAATTGCCGTAAAATTCTCTCTCACTCAAACAACCCACCAGTCAAGCAAGTGGAGTGACGAATGTCCGGTTGTCCATCCCCAGGTACTTCTGTGAGGTCCGGCTTGACCAGACACTGTACGCCCAGACCTCGGTGAAGACCATGACGGACATGCTGTTCTGGGGGGAACACTTTGAGTTCAAGTAAGTCTCTCTGTTTGTTTGTGGTTGTGTGCCTGTTTGTGTGTCTGTGTGCCTGTTTGTGGATGTGTGAGTGTTTGTGTGTATGTCCTCTGATTATCTGTCTGTGTGTCTGTTTGTTTGTATGTCTGTGTATGTGTTCTGAGTTC